GTAAGATAACAGATACTACTATGATTTCAATTTTTTAAATATCTGTTGAAATTTGTTTTATGGCACAAGGTATTGTCTAACTTGGTATATATTTCAGGGACACTTCAAGTAAATGTGTATTTTGCTGTAATTGGGTGGCATGTTCTACAGAAGTGGATTCTATCCTGTTGGTTGATTGTGTTATTGGGTTCTTCTACATCCTTGCTGATTTTCCTGTCAGTTGTTCTATAAGTTATTAAGAGAAAGGGGTGTTAAAGTTGGCAACTATAATTATGGATTTATCTATTTCTTCTTTCATTTCTATCAGTCTAAGTTTCACATATTTTGCAGCTCTGTTTCTGGTGAGTATATATTGAGGATTGTTGTGTCTTTTTGGTGGACGGACTCTTTCATCATTATGTAATCTTCCTCGCTGTCTCTGGTAATTTTCTTTGTACTGAAGTCTACATTATCTGATACTAATACAGAAGCTCCTGTTTTCTTTTGACTAATGTTTGTGTGTTATATATTTTTCATTCTTTTACTTTCAACCTATATTGTTGTATTTAAATTTAGCTTCTTGTAGACAGTATGAGGTTGGATCAGTTTCCTTTTCTCCCCATGGTCTATCGATCTTTGCCCTTTAACTGGTATGTTTTAACCATTTACATTTTAGGTAGTTATTAATATGTTAGGCCTTAAGTTTTCCATTTTGTTTTTTGTTTTCTGTTTTTCCTCTCTATTTTTGTCTGCTTACTTTTTCATGCCTTATTGTTAATTACTTGAACTTTTTCAAAAATTCTATTTCAGTTAATCTATAATGTTTTTGGGTGTATCTCCTTGCATAGCTTTTTAAAAACTGATTATTCTAAGTATTACATTATATATGCATTACATTACAGGCTACTACTGTTGACATTTTACCAATGTCACTCAAGTGAAGTGTATCATCTTTTACTTTCCCTGTTTATAATTGTCTTAAATATTTCCTTTTCACAAATTTAAAACTATATCAGGCAATATTCTAATTTTTATTTTAATTCTCTTGATAAAACTCAAGAGAAGAAAAATGTATTATACTTATTCGTATTTTAACCTTTTCCATTGTTCTTCCTTTCCTTTTGATGTTTCAAGATTTCTTCTTTTGTTATTTTATTTTTGTTTATGTAATTACTTTAGCCATTCTTTTAGGGTGGTTCTGCTGGTGACAAATCTTTTTTTTTTTTTTTTAATTTGAGACTGTCTTGATTTTCCTTCATTCCTGAACGATATTTTTGTTGTACATAAGATTCCAGGTTGACAGTTCTTTTCTTTCAGCACTTAAAAATGTGCCACTTTTTTCCAGCCTCTATGGTTTCTCATGAGAAATCTGCTATCATTCAACTTGTTTTTACAATATAAGTGTCATTTATCTCTCACTGCTTTCAAGAATTATCTTCCTTATGTTCAGTTTTCAAAACTTTTCCTCTGATGTGTCTTGGCATGGATTTGGTTGAGTTTATCTGGCTTGCTTGAGACTTGCTCATCTTCTTCAATCTGTAGGTTTATGTCTTTTGTCAAATATGAGAGGTTTCACTCATTATTTCTTTGAGTACCGTTTCAACTCTGCCTCTTTCTTCTCCCTCTAGGATTCTAATGACATAATTGCTAGATCTTTAGTTATAGTCTCACAGGTCTTTGAGGCACTGTTTTTTTTTGTTTTTGTTTTTGTTTCTGTTTTACATTTTTTTTCATTGTGGTTCAGTTGTTTAATTTCTATTATTATGTTTTTAAGTTCCACAATTCTTTCTATTGTCCCCTTTATTCTACTTTGGAGATCATCCATTGAGTTTTAAAAATTTCGGTTATTGTACTTTTCGGTTTTAAATTTCTATCTAGTTCTTTATATCTTCTATCCCTGTGTTGAGACTATTTTTTCATTTGTTTCTAGTGTTTTTGCAATTGCTTATTCATATATTTTTATCATGGGGGCTTACAGGTTTTGCTTATTCATATATTTTTATCATGGGGGCTTACAGTTTTTGCTAGGTAATTCCAGTATGTGTGCCATTGTGTTTTTTGTCTGTTCATTGTCTTTTCTCATTCGGTTTGAGATGTTACGGTATTTAGCATGACAAGTGATTTTTATTGGAACCTGAACAGCCTCAGTATTACAGTATAATGCTGAATATTATTTAAATATTTTGTTTCAGATTCTTTGGTGTGGAAAGAGGGTGTCGCTTCATACTGTCAAGTAGGGGTATAAGTGCAGGTTTCCCACTTGACTTCCATGACACCAAGGTGAGGGAACTCCCCAGTACTGCTGGGCAGAGGTGGGAGGGTTGATTTCCCAATAGGCCCTCATTGATACCTCCTTGTCTGGAAGTGGTAGGACTTCCTGGTTATTGTTCTCCACCTGGCCTCCACTGGCACCATGGTGGTAGGATAAGTTTGTTACTATGGGTGTTAGTGAATTTCCTGACTCTCCACTAGACTTCCTCTGATACCACCCCGCTGGGGGCTTGGTGCACCTTATTAAACAGCCTGGTGCGGGTGGAAGTCCATCCTTCATGCTTGGGCTTTGCTGGCTTGTGGAGAAGAGGGGAGATACATTAGTTTTTCTGCAGTGTTTGGAATAGAGTGGTTATTGTTCAAGAGTTTTATGTCTTGCTTGGCTGCCCATTTTCTTGTCCGTTGACTACAAAGAACAGGCTTTCATTAGGAATTTAAATATATGTGCCCATTTGGTGTTTCCAAGTTTGCAGATTTGTTCAGCTCCAAGTCCTGGATTTATCAGGCAAAATGAAAACCCAGGGAACTAACCACTGTGTCAATCTTCAGGTTCTGAGGTCCCTAGTGGATCTTCCTCCTTCTCTTCACCTTGTAATACATTCCTTTTGTTTTGTTTTGTTTTATAAATAATTTCCAGAGTTTCATTATACTTAGTGGGCAGAATATGGAAAAGTATGTCTACTCCATCCTCCTGGAAAAAGTATGTCTACTCCATCCTCCTGGAAAAAAAAATTCTCAACTTAGGTTGATAATTTTTGGCTACCATCATATTAGGCTCTTTAGAAACTTTTCTTATTTAATTATCTCACTTCTCGGAGCCAGATGTTCTCACATTAATTCTAAAGATGAGGAGACTGAGGCTTGGTGGAGTAGAACAACTTGTTCAAGGTAAATGGTTAAAGCTAGGCTACAAACACAGGTTAGTCTGGCTATGAAATCTCTGCTGTTTTCGCTGTATAATAAAGGGAAGTCCCTTGCTTATCATTTTCATCTGTTATGATCCCCAGCACATAGATAAGCATATAGAAGGTGCCCAGTAAGTACTGGTGGAATGAGCTTCACATAGGAGCTAAGTTAATGCTTATTAGAAGAGCACCTCTTTTCCAGGGGGATTGGTAGTTAGTGTTTGTTCAGCTGCATGTCACTTCCAAACTGAGTAGCTTTCGCTTTTCTAGTTTCTCTGTTTATTTCAAAGGGCGCTGCCCAACTGAACATCACCATTTTCCATTCATCATCAATCTGGTATAACTGCAAATTCCTAGAAAAGAGAAGCTTCCTGGAAGATTGCTGCTGCTCTGGGGGCAAAGCTAGAGTTGCATTACAATCACAAAATAGGATTTTTCCTATCCAGGGTGCAGTGTCTCATGCCTGTAATCCCAGCAATTTGGGATGCCGAGGTGGATGAATCACTGGAGGTCAGTAATTCGATACCAGCCTGGCCAACATGGTGAAATTCCATTTCTACTAAAAATACAAAAAATTAGCCGGGTATGGTGGTGTGCACTTCTAGTCCCAGCTACTCAGGAGGCTGAGGCAGGAAAATTGCTTGAACCCGGGGGACGGAGGTTGGTTGCAGTGAGCCGAGATTGTAGCACTGCACTCCAGCCTGGGTGACACAGCAAGATTCTGAAAAAAAAAAAAAAGAAAAAAAAAAGATTTGTCTTGCTCTGCCTGCACTCATCCTAGAGACCATAAGATTTCTCTTTGATAGCTCTGTGAGGACCAGGAGAAATGTGCCATATATATCTGGTGAGTAAGGACTGCCTGGTGAGGTAGTCCTCTCAGCGAGAGTGTTGAGTCTGTGCATTGCAGGAGGGCATGCATTCTTCTGGAGCGGGCTGCCAGGGTTCAAAGCTCAGCTCTGCCATTATCCACAGTGGGACGCTGAGTAGATTCTTAAACCTCCATGACCCCTACTTCCTATACTGTAAAGTGGGAATAATATAATGCTATATAGTGAGAGTTAAATGAGTTAATATGCATCAACTGCTGAAAATAGTACCTGCCACACTGTCTTCCACAATCGTTGAACTGGTTTACACTCCCACTAACAGTGTAAAAGTGTTCCCATTTCTCCACATCCTCTCCAGCACCTGTTGTTTCCTGACTTTTTAATGATCGCCATTCTAATTGGCGTGAGATGGTATTTCATTGTGGTTTTGATTTGCATTTCTCTGAAGACCAGTGACGATGAGCATTTTTTCATGCGTCTGTTGGCTGCATAAATGTCTTCTTTTGAGAAGTGTCTGTTCATATCCTTTGCCCGCTTTTTGATGGGGTTGTTTGATTTTTTCTTGTAAATTTGTTTAAGTTCTTTGTAGATTCTGAATATTAGCCCTTTGTCAGATGGGTGGATTGTAAAAACTTTCTCCTATTCTATAGATTGCCTGTTCACTCTGATGGTACTTTCCTTTGCTGTACAGAAGCTCTTTAGTTTAATTAGATCCCATTTGTCTATTTTGGCTTTTGTTGCCATTGCTTTTGGCATTTTAGTCATGAAGTCCTTGCCCATGCCTATGTCCTAAATGGTATTGCCTAGGTTTTCTTCTAGGGTTTTTATGGTTTTAGGTCTAACATTTAAGCCTTTAATCAACCCTGCACGTTGTGCACATGTACCCTAGAACTTAAAGTATAATAAAAAAAAATAGTACCCGACACACAGAATATAATACATATGAGCTGTCTTTATTGCTGTCAATATAATCAGTTAGGGAAGGTGTGACGTCTGTCATCTGACTCCTTCTCTCCAGGGCTCCCTGGTCATCTTGCTTCTTTTGGTCACCGTCTGCTGCAAATACTGCCACGTGTCGAGCTCCTCATGCTGAGATCAGGACCTGGGTCAAGGAGAGCCGGCTGTGCTTCTACGCCTGCCACGGCTGCTGAGCCCAGATGGAAGTCACTTTGCACACCTGGGTGAACCCTCCCTACCCATACTGCTTCTTTGTCCTGGACAAACCCGCACACCTCTGCCTATCTTTGTGGGGTGCCCTCCATCACACACTAAATCACTCTCTTCTATTTCTATTTCTAGAAAGTTTATATTTCTAGAAATCCTCCAAAATCTTCAAACCCTGACTCAGCTCGTCCTTCCAGAAGGAGGCTGAGGCTTCTGCTTCTCATACACACGTGGGGCGTCCCAGAGGTGGCTGCTTCCTCTTCCCTCCTCTGCGTTCTTCCTGAATCCTGAGTCTTCAAGGAAGATTGCTCACTCCTGCAGGACTCCAGGGGGTGTTCAGGCCACATCAATCCAGGGCTGTGTGAGTTTCCTGGAGCTGCTAAAACAAGTGATCACAATCCGGGTAGCTTAAAACCACAGTCATTTATTGTCTCGCAGTTCTGGAGGCTGGAAGTACAAAATCAAGATGTTGGCAGGGCTGGTTCTCTCTGAGAGCTGTGAGGAGAATCTGCCCCAGGCCTCTGCTTAGCTTCTGGTGGTTTCCTGGCAATCTTCAGCATCCCATGGCTTTTAGATGGATCATCCAGTTCTCTGTCCTCACATTCACATGGTGCTGTCTGTGTATGTCTGTATCCAAATTTCCTTCTTCTTGTAATGACATCAGCCATATCGGATTAAGCATCCACTGTTTTCCAGTCTGACCTCATCTTAATTTAACTAATTACACCTACAAAGACTTTATTTCCAAATACAGTCACCTTTACAGGTACCGGGGTTAGGACTTATAACATATCTTTTTAGAGGACACAGTTAAACTTACAGTAAAGCATAACAGCAACATCTTAAACTTGGACCTCTACTGAGTTAGAAGTGTCACTCTAGGGGTAGTATGCAGAGAATTTTGGAGGGAAAACGTGTCCTGGGAACAGGTGTGTGAATTAGGATGCTGTTAAAAGGTCACAGAAAGAGATTACATTCTGAACCAGAGTGAGGTTTGGGGTGGATTATTTTGTCTCTATTTAAAATTTTGTATCCAGAAATTCAAAGGCTTTTTGAAAAATGTATTTCCCTCCTCCCCTTCAGTGCCAGGTGTCTGAGCTTTGGAAACATGGATTTTCTTGCAGCTCTTCTGTGTGTTGTTGGAGGCCAAGCTCATCAAACTGCCCATAGTGGAGACTGAGCAGCTGTGCATAGGGGCTGCTGAGAGCTGAGTTTGTTTATGTAAATTTTGTTTTATTTTAGTCTTTCCAACAACTGCCACGGGGCCTAATTCTCAGCCAAGGGCTAGGAGGAAGGCCTTTATTGTTTAGATGTAGGCATTTGGGATAACTTGGGAAGCAAACTCCACCATGTAATATGTGAGCCCTTCCTGGGCAGCTCTCCTCACCCAGTGCTTCATGGAGAAGCAAGACTGTTGCTGCCTTGGGAGAGGCTGCGGTTTTATTGTGAGTCAAGCATAATTTTTCCTTTTTAATTTCCACAGCTTTATTTAGCTTTAGAAACATTCCTTTCAAATATATTATGTTATTCTGGTATAATATCTTTTATAATAAAGCCATGGAAATTATAATTAATCTTTTATAATAAAGCCATGGAAATTATTCTGAGCATAGCCTACAACAAAGAAAAAACACTCAACCACAATAATGAACCCATAGACAATTACATTCTTACAAATTATTGTGTTCTAAATACAAGCGTCTTTCCAAATTTCATGTATTAAATAGATGGACACGAAAAGGATATAAATAAATATTGCTTAAGTAAGTAAAATAAATGTTTAAGTCTACATATGTGTTGTAATTTAAAAGGGCATTTAAGATGATTGAGAAAACACTGGTAAAAGCAGTCATTCCTTGAGCAAATATTTAGTGACACTGACAATGGCCAGGAAATGGCTATAGAGGGAGGGGAGCAGGGCTCAGTCTGGCCCTGAGACTTCACATGGTGAAGTGTTCCGTGATTTGTCTGCAGACGCCTGCTATAACACTGATGCCTGACCCTGCTGACTACCTGACTTCAGGTTCCCTCTTTTCCACGTGATTCCCGGAAACTTCCCAACATCTTCAAGCCCTGACTGAGCTCCTGGGTCCAGCAGGAGGACGGGGTGCCTGGTGCTGACACTGCGTAGGCCTCTCGGGGGCAGTTGCCTCCCCTCCCCTCCTCTACACCCTTCCTGTGTTCTTGGCGCCCATCTCCTAGGAAGACACTTTCCCTCAAGTGCTCTTGATCCCATTCTCTCCACCTGACATAAAGCGATTTTACACAAACCTGAGCAATAAACATTTAGACGTGGACCATCGCACAGCAACACCAGTGGAAGATTGCCCAGTCCACCCCAACCCCTGAGGTTCAGCCTGGCTCTTGGAGTTGAGGGGATGGTGTGGAGAGGCCGCTGGGGAGGGCGGGCCATGGCAACAATGAGAAAAGAAGGTCCGAGGTGTTCAGTGGGAAGAAACAGGACATATCAGTACTTTAACAAGGCTCAGAATCGCCCTTCCAAAATGTCTCCAGGTTCATAATCTCCTGCGCTGCCCAGCAATGGCTTCCTTTCTCCATCAATCATCTCTTTGCATTTTGCATCTTTGCTCACCTCCCCCGTCCTCTCCTGTGGCCATAAAATTCATCAGGCATTCCTTACTGGGAAATGCAACAACAGCAACAACAAAACCAGGAAGTGGCGACCAACTTCTCTGGGCCCTGTCTCCATCTTCAAGGCTTGAAGGGGACATTCTTTCCCTCTTACTCTTTTCAACTCAGTATTTCTTGAAAGAGTATCTGACTCCAGCAACCTCCTTTCCATTCTCATCGCCGCTGCCTCCTCCACCTTTTGCACCTTGGCTCTGTCCCGTGTCCATCTTCGGTTGTCCTTCTTTCCTGAGCACCCTCGATCTTTTGCAGCTTGGCTCTGTCCCTGTCCATGTTTGGTTGTCCTTCTCTCCTGAGCTCCCTGGAAACACTGTTGCGGACCTGGGGTCCTGTGCCTGAGTCAGTACAGTTGCACCCGGGGAGGTCCTGCCCTCAGCTCAGGGCGCAGCACCCACAGCACGTAGAGTCCAGCTCGGGCAGATCTCTCTGCTGTGTGCTTCCTTGTACAGGGTAGGAAGTGGTTCTGGGTTTCTTATACCTACGTATTGAGGCTTGTGCCCAGGCATCCAGATCAAGTGGATTCAGGAGGAGCCACATAACCACCATGAGAGATATTTTGAGGCATTAGCACGTGCTTTCTTTCTCTGAAACTTTTCTTTCCTGTCCTCCCACTCAAGCCATTGCCTAGCCCTGAGCTCATTGCATCAGGAAGGGGTGTACAGACATGGCCTGAGTCCTCCTGGCCCTTCCCTCCCACTGTCTAAGTCTAGAGTTGGATGAAGATCCTCGGAAATAGAATATTTGGGGGCACAGTCAGCGAGGAGAGAAGATTTACCCAGGCTTGGGAGATTAAATAGAAAAAAGGATGGATGAGAATTGGGTATCCCAAGAGAGAAAGAGGAAATGCTCTGTCTGCTTCCAAAACAACGCCTCTGGAGAGGGAGGGACGTTGCTTCCAGAGAGGACGGCCACTGGGGCATGGATCCAGATGGGAGGTGGCCACTTCCAACAGCTTCCTGTCCTCACTCCCGTCCTGGCACTGCAGAGACAGCCACGTGCAGTTATCAAGGCTGAGGAGGAAATGGCTGAGAGAGGACTAGGAGGACTGGCAGCCCAGATGCCGATAACCCGCTGCCACCCCAATGCCTTGGAATTGTGGCATGACCTAGGAAGCGTTCACTCTAAGTTGGTCGTCAGCTTGGGGTGGGAAGTGAAAGCTTTGAAACAGGACTTAATGCAGTCAAGTTGAGAATAAGAACCGCGGCATGTATTTTGTACTTGACCTTGAGAACCCAGCACTCAATGAAGAGTCGTTCTCTTCTTAGGAGATGTGCTTGGACCTGTGAGGAAAGTGGCCATCAGCAGACACACTGTCCAGGTCCAACCTCCCCAATCATCTTGGATCTCAACAATCGTGTCTATTAATTCCAGCATTTTCCCTCCGCAGTTCATCACCGCACGGCAGCCTGGGATGGGACCAGGAGTAGTTGGTACTCTTGGCACAACTTCAACTACTTCTACTTTGCTAGAGTCTGACTTGTTTAGCAACAGTTGAGTGACCCCTGGGTTGTAAAAAAGGTTCCCAACCGCCTGAACAACAAAGGTTAAAATCCCGGTAAAAAGCCAAAAAACCGGTTTTTTTTCCCCCCCCAGATTTGCCACTATATGCTGCCAAGGACCCAATCAACACTGACTTGATTCTAGGTGAGGACTGAGGACCTGACTTGTCACTTCTCCATGTGGCTGCTGCTTCAGCAGCTCTTCCTTGAGGCACTCGTCCATGCACAAGCAATGTGTGTTTTTAAAAATGAAATATTTTTTAGAAGTACAAAAATCATCGATGTTTAGGTGTCCACCACTGAGATTAAGCAGGTGTTACTATTTTGATATATATTCTTTATCTCTCTAGTTTAAAAAAATTAAACAAATAAAAAGATTATAGTGTCAGGTGCGGTGGCTCACACCTGTAATTCCAGCACCTCGGGAGGCTGAGGCAAGTGGATCACCTGAAGTCAGGAGTTCAAGACCAGCCTGACCAACATGGTGAAAGCCCACCTCCACTGAAAATACAGAATTAGCTGAGTGTGATGGCATGTGCCTGTAATCCCAGCTACTTGGGAGGCTGAGGCAGGATAATCACTTGAACCAGGGAGGCAGAGGTTTCAATGAGCCAAGATCGTGCCATTGCATTCCAGCCTGGGCAATGAGCAAAAGTCCATCTCAAAAAAAAATAAAAATTATGGCCACAGAGATGCTATAGTGATGGATACATGCTATTATGCACAAAGAGTGAACCCTGAAGCAAACTATAGACTTCAGTTAATATATCAATATTGGATCATTAACTGTAAAAAATGTGCCTCACTAATAGAAGATGTTAATGGGGGCTGAGTGTGCTTTCTCTCTCTCTCTCTCTCTCTCTCTCTCTCTGTGTGTGTGTGTGTGTGTGTGTGTGTGTGTGTATGTGTGTGAGAAGGGGTGTATGGAATACTCCGTACTTTCTTCTCAAGTTTTCTATAAACCTAAAGTTGATCTAAAAATCAAACCTAGTAAATATATGTTAGATTATTGAATATACTTACATATTATATAAATAGCTACAGCCATATTCTGTCTCCATCCTCCTCCCTCCATCCTCCTCCCTGCTTTCCTGGAAGCACCTGCCACCTTAGAGCTGTGTGTGGCCCTACCTATCACTCTGAGAGCACCGCCCCTCCCCTAGCTCTTCCTGTAACCCAGTCTGTGGCATGGCTGCCCTGTCCTGCCTCTCCACTGGCCAGCCTTCTTCCTTTCAAAGACCCTGTGGGCCGTTGCTTGAACTCTTTGGTCAGTTTTAAATGATGAAAGCTCCTTCAGGCTCTTGTAGGCATAAGGAGAGTCTCATTTGCATAATTAGAATTCCTGTTTATGAAGGCAAATATCTAAACTTGTGAATCCATTTAGAACCCACCTGCCTGGATGACCCAGGGAGACTTCTCCATCTCAGGATCCTTCACTCAATCATATCCGCAAAGATCCTTTTTCCATATCAGGTCACATTCTGAAGTCCCAGGAATTAGGACCTGACATCTCGGGACCATTATATGACCTACACACCCTCTTGCAGGTCTGCCTCTGCTGCCCTAGGTTGGGCTGTGGGGTGTGGGGTAGGGATCAGAAGGAATAGGTAGAGTCCTCCTGGACTGCGTAGAGGTAATTCTGCCTTGGTGCCTTCGGGTGTTGCTAGTTCCCAATATTGACCTTCTTATTTTTATGATTTTTGAACATTTCCCTGCTTTCTTTGGCTCTTGCTTCCTGGGAACATCTCACAGGTGAAGCCAGACAGCACAGAGTTTCAAAGGGCTGGCTTGTGGGTGAGTCAGGTGATGGCTGTGCCCACCACTTGTTTATTTTGAAGACAGAGATAATAGTAACGCATCTCACAGGTTGCTGTGAGGATTCTGGTACATGGAAAATCTTTAATGTGCTGCCTGCATCACAGCACCTGCTTGGGGAGGATTGGCCATTTTTGTTGGTAGAAGCTGCAGCTTCTCTTATGGGGCAGTGCCTCCCCCTCATAGCCCTCCACATCCAGTGCTGCTGAAGCACCTGTCAAGGTGGACTCTTCCTAACAGGAAGCTTCCCAATTGTCTATGAACAATGTTTATTATGTTCTATCCTCTTTTTCTGATTTAGGATCTGATCAAGGATTGTACATTGTGTTGGCTGTCATGTGACCTTAGTCTTCTCTATTCTAGCTATACCTGGGACTTTAACAAATGCACATGTACCCTAGAACTTAAAGTATATAAAAAAAGTTTCCGTGCTGTTTATGTTTTTTAAGGCCCAGGTTGATTGTTTTGCAGGATGCTTTTCAATTTGCATTTGTCTAATTGTTTGCTCACGATTAGATTCATTTTTGCAGGGACTTCCACAGGCAATGTTCACCTTTCCCACTGCAGCCCAGCAGGAGGGACGCACTGTTAGTTCATCCCATCACTGGGATGTTCAGCTTGGTCACTTCCTTCAGTTGGCATTTGCTGAATTTCTCCATTATAAAGGTATCTTTCTCCCTTTGTGCTTAATAAGTAACTTGTGTTGTAATTCTTTGAGACTTTGTGAATATCCTGTTCCTCCATGCTCTTTTCCCCAGTGGTTTCAGCGTTCATCACTAAATGTATTTTGAGTTATTGCTATGCTGGAGGCAAAGTAGTGAATTTTTATTTCCCTCATTTCTTTTGTTTTATCTTTAGTTAACACATAATAATTGTACATATTTATGGAATATAGAGTAATGTTTTTATACATGCATACAATATGTCATGATCAAATCAACGTAATCATACAGACATTACCTCAAACATTTATCATTTCTTTGCATTGGGAACATTCAAAATTCTCACTTTTAGGGAGTGTAAATTAGTTCAACCATTGTGGAAGACAGTGTGGCGATTCCTCAAGGATCTAGAACTAGGAATACCATTTGACCCAGCAATCCCATTACGGGTATATACCCAAAGGATTATAAATCATTCTACTATAAAGACACATGCACACGTGTATTTATAGCAGCACTATTCACAATAGCAAAGACTTGGAACCAACCCAAATATCCATCAATAATAGACTGGATAAAGAAAACGTGGCACATATACACCATGGAATACTGTGCAGCCGTAAAAAAGGATGAATTCATGTCCTTTGCAGGGACATGGATGAAGCTGGAAACCATCATTCTCAACAAACAACCACAAAAACAGAAAACCAAACACTGCATATTCTCACTTATAAGTGAGAGTTGAACAATGAGAACCCATGGACATAGGGAGGGGAACATCTGCTGGGGGCTGGGGGGCTAGGGGAGGGATAACATTAAGAGAAATACCTAATGTAGGTGATGGGGCGATGGGTGCAGGAAACCACCATGGAACATGTATACCTATGTAACAAAACTGCACATTCTGCACATGTACCACGGAACTTAAAATATAATTAAAAAGAAAGAAAAATTCTCACTTCTAAGCTTTTTGAAAATATGCAATAAATCATTATTAACTATACTCATCCTACAGTGCTATAAAAGATTATATTGGGTTGGTGCTAATAATGGTAAAAACTACAATTACTTTTGCACTAACCTAATAACTCATTCCTCCTGTCTAGATGTAACTTTGTGTTGGTTAACCAACCTTTTCCCATCTTCCCTTCTCTTCATCCTTCCTAGCCTCTAATAAGCAGAGCTCTACTCTCTCATAGTAGTTTCATAATAGTTTATAATAGTTTACTTCTATGAGTGCAACTTTTTTTTAGCTTACACATATAAGTGAGAACATGTGGTATTTATCTTTCTATGCCTGGCTTATTTTAGTTAACAAAATATCCTTCAGACTCATCCTTGTGGCTGTGAATGATAGGATTTCATTCATTTTTATGGGCTGACTTGTATTCCATGGTGTATATGTACAATGTTTTCATCCTTAATATCTGTTGATGGACATTTAAGTTGATTCCACATCTTGGCTATTTTGAATAGTGCTGTAATAAACATGGGAATGCAGATATCTCTTTTGATACGTGGATTTCCTTTCCTTTGGAAAAGTAGCCAGTAGTGGGATAACGGGGTCATATGGTAGTACTACTTTTAGTTTTTTTAAATACTGTTTTCCATAATGTCTGTGCTAATTTCCACTCCTATGAAGATTGTATAAGAGTTCCCTTTTTCTCTGCATCCTTACCAGCATTTGTTATTTTTTGTCTTTTTGATAATAGCCTTAGTGGAGTGAGATGGTATCTCATTGTGATTGTGATTTGCATTTTCCTGATAATTAGTGATGTTGAACATTTTTTCATATAGTTGTTGGCCATTTATATGTCTTTTTTTGAGAAATGTTTATTGAGATTCTTTGCCCATTTTAAAATCAAATTATTAGATTTTTTTTTTTTTTTTTGCTGTTGAGTTGCTTAAGTTATTTGCATGTTCTGGAAATTAGTCCCTTCTCAGATGAATAGTTCGCAAACATTTTCCTCCATTCTGTTAGTTGTCTCTTCACTCTGTTGATTGTTTCCTTTGCTGTGCAGAAGCTTTTCATCTTAACACAGTACTATTTATCTATTAGGTTGATGCAAAAGTAATTGCAATTCTTGCCATTTAGTTTACTTTTGCAATTTACTTTTAAATGGCAAAAACTGCAATTACTTTTGCATCAACCTAATATTTTCGGTTTTTGTTGCCTGTGCTTTTGAAGTCTTACCCATAAAACCTTTGCCTAGACCAATGTCCTGAAGCATTTCTTCTACATTTACTTCTAGTATTTAATAGTTTGGAACTTACATTTGAAGCTTTAATCCATTCTGAGTTGATTTTTCTATGTAGTGAGAGATGGGGTCTAGTTTTCCTCGTCTTCAAATGGCTATCCAGTTTTCCCAGAACCATTTATTGAAAAGGAAATTCTTTCCCCAGTTTATGTTTTTGGCACCTTTGTTGCACATCAGTTGGCTGTAAATATATAAATTTATTTCTGGATTCTCTACTCTGTTCCATTCATCTATGTGTCTGATTTTATGTCAG